AGTGGAGCACACCAAACTTAACCACTAGGCCACAGGGCCAGCCCCCAGTATTTGTATTTTTATGACTTATTTTACTTAGCATAATGTCATCAAGATTCATCCGTGTTGTAGCATATTGCAGAATTTTCTTCCTTTTTAAACCTGAATAATATTCCACTGCATGTACATACCACATTTTGCTTATCCATTCATCTGTTGATAAACGCTTGGGTTGCTTCCAAATTTTAGCTACTGTGAATAATGCTGCTGTGAACATGGGCATACAATGATCTCTTCCAGACCTTGCTTTCAATTCTTTGGGGTATATAACCAGAAATGGAATTGCTGGATCATATGGTGATTCTATTTTTAATTTTTTTATGAACTACCATACTGCTTTCCACAGCTTTACTGTTTGTTTTACCTTCCACCAACAGTGCACAATTCCCACCAATTTCTCCAAATCCTCACCAGCACTTGTTGTTTTCTATTTGTTTTTTTGATAGTAGCCATCCTAATGGGTATGAAGTGGTATCTAATCATAGTTTCAACTTGCATTTCCCTAATGCTTACTGACATTGAGCATCGTTTCATGTGCTTATTGGCCATTTGTATTATCTTCTTTGGAGATGTGTATTCAAGTCCTTCAGCCATTTTTGAATTGGGTTTCTTTTTGTTTTAGTGTTGTTGTTTTAGGAGTTCTCTATACATTCTGTATATTAATCCCTTATCAGATACGTAATTGGCAAATATTTTCTCCATTATATGGGTTGCCATTTTACTCTGTGGACAGTGTCTTTTGATGCATGTAATTTTTAAATTTTCATGAAGTCCAATTTGTTTATTTCTTTTGTTACCTATGCCATTGATGTCATATCCAAGAAATCACTGCCAAATCCAATGCCGTGTTGGTTTTTTCCTATGTTTTCTTCTAAGAGTTTTATAGTTTTAGGTTTTACATTTTAGGTCCTTGATCCATTTTGAGTTAGTTTTTGTATAGTGTGTTAGATAAGGGTCCAACTCCATGCTTTTGCATGTGGATATCCAGTTTTCTCAGCACCATTTGTTGAAAAGACTGCCCCTTGCCAATTGAATTGTCTTGACACCCTTGTCAAAAGTCACTCCACCGTATACGTAAGGGTTTATTCTGGACCCTCTATTATATTCCATTGGTCTATACGTCTGTCTTTATGCAATACCACACTGCTTTGATTATTATAGCTTTGGACTAAGTTTTGAAATCAGGGGTGTTAGTCCTCCAGTTTTGTTCTTTTTTGAGATAATTTTGGCTGTTTGGGATCCCTTGAGATTCCATATGAATTTTAGGATAGGATTTCTATTTCTGCAAAAACGTGCTTGGGATTTTGATAGGAATTACGTTGAATCTGTAGATCACTTTGGGTAGTATTGACATTTTAACAAGATTAAGTTTTCCAGTCCATGAACATGGGATGTGTTTCCATTTATTTACATTTTCTTTAATTTCTTTTGTCAATGTTTTGTAGTTTTCATTGTACAAGTCTTTTACCTCCTTGTTTTAGTTAATTCCTAAGTATTTTACTCTTTTTGATGCTATTGTGAATGCAATTGGTTTTGTGATTTTCTTTTCAGATTGTTCATTGTTAGTGTATAGAAATGCAATTGATCTTTGTGTGTTGACTTTGTATCCTGCTACTCGCTGAATTAATTTTCTTATTCTAACTTTTTTTGTGGCATCTTTAGTGTTTTCTATATATAAGATCATATCATCTGAAAACAGAGAAACACTTTACTTCTTCCTTTCCAACTTGGTTGCCTTTTATTTCACCTTCTGGCCTAATTGCTCTGGCTAGAACTTCTAGTACCATGTTGAATATAAGTGGTGAAAGTGGGCACCCTTGCATGGTTCCTGATCTTAGAGGAAATGTTCAGTCTCTCACCATTGTGTATAGTGTTCACCATGGGTTTTTCATATATGGCTTTCATTATATTGAGGTATTCCTTCTATTCCTAGTTTGTTGAGAATTTTATCATGAAAGGGTGTTGAATTTTGTCAAATGCTTTTTCTGCATCAATTGAGATGATCATGTGTTTTTTTCCTTCATTCTGTTGATGTGGCATATTACATTGATTGATTTTCATATGTTGAACCATCCTTGCATTCCAGGAATAAATCCCACTTGGTTATGGTGTATAATCCTTTCAATATGCTGCTAAATTCTGTTTGCTAGTATTTTGTTGAGGATTTTTGCATCAATGTTTATAAAGGATATTGATCTGTAGTTTTCTTTTCCTGTAGTGTCTTTGTCTGGCTTTGGTATCAGGGTAATGCAGGCCCTACTGAATGAGTTAAGAAGTGTTCCTTCCTCTTCAATTTTTGGAAGAAGTTTGAGAAGGATTGACATTAGTTATTCTTTAAATGTTTTATCAGTGAAATCATCATGTCCAGTACTTTTATTTGTTAGGAGATATTTGATTACTGATTCAATCTCCCTACTAGTTATAGGTCTATTCAGATTGTCTATTTCTTCACAATTTAATCTTGGGAAGTTTTGTGTTTCTAGAAATTTATCCAAGATTGCTACTATAGTTGTGTTATTTTTAAAATTTCACATACATCATGATCATTTCCCACTCCATAAAATATCTTGTGGAAGCATGACTGTAAATGGTTACATAACACTCTATCCCATGGGTATGTCATACATTTTCTAGCTTCCTCCTATTGTTGAATGTAGGTTGACTTCAACCGTTTGTCTGCAATGAATAGCCTCATACTGTGCACACATCTCTTCTTAATTCCTTAGGATAAATTCCTAGGAATAGAGTTTCTGGATCATTGGCTCCATAAGCATTTTTTCCTGCTCTGATCAATCTTTTGAGGTGATGCCAGGAAGGAAATTAGGCTCAAAGTTTAAGTTACCAGTTGAGCAATGAGAACAATTTATTTAGATAATTTTCTTGTCAGTCTCTTACTACTCCAGTTCCATTTTTCCAGTAAATTATCTGCTTAACAGATGGAAAATTATGGATATAAATATAATTAGTTTTGTCTAATAGCAACATCTTAAATACAACTTTATAGTAGTTTTATTTTTATTCTTAATATGTTCTATACTCATATGTGAATTCACTAACAATTTAAAATGTGATAAACAGCTAACTCATAACCATCACCATCAAAACAATATATTTAACATTTCTTGAAAAATTGCTCTGTACTAGACATAGTGCTAAGCCATTTATACACACAATCTCATTAACTTAACAAAAACCTTAGCAGTTGGATATAAAGAGCTCTAATTCACAGAGAAGCAACCAGAGACATCTAGAGGTCCAACCTCACAGCCTCTGGAGGAGGCAGAGCTGAGACCTAAGCCTCAGTCTTCCGGATTAATGTTTATTTAGTGCTCACTATGAAGCAATGAATGTTCTAAGCTCTAAAAATGGGGATTTTTACAAATGACAACATAAAGACCCTGAGAGATTTATTACCTGTCCAAAGGAATATAGCTAACAAATAACAAACTCAGGCTGAGACAAACTCCAGAGGTCCTACAGGAGTTCTCTCTCAGAACTACTGCAATTACATATGAAGAAGTGCAAATTAGGAAAAGGAGCTAAATAATTAAAAGGAATGTTTTTCCTCTCACTGACAAGAGACCAGGCTGCTTGAGCATGGAAAAGGCTGGACAGGCCCCACCAGGCCCCCTTCACCAGTAATATCCTGTTGTGGGAAATAATCTACACAGGCCAGAAGTTCTCTCTCTCTCTCTCTCCCCTCCTCCCTTTTACCTAACAGATCACAGTCATCTTTTCCCATGAGTGTGACATTTTCTGAGGACACTATCTGGGTAGTCTGGTTCTCAGGAGATCTGGTTTCTTGTTGTGCTTCTATCCCTGACTATAGAATTTGGACTCAAGGTCTAAAGACTCATTTGGCACAACCCTGATGTGGTTCCCAGATCATCGGTCGTTGGTTGTGGTTTGGCGAGGGGGTGCCAATCCCTGGTCGAGTTCATTCAGCCGCTGCACCTGTTGACTCGCCACCAGCCCCTTTTGGTGCCCATTGGCACTCAAGACGCTTTTTTGGAAACAAAATCAGACGCAGAGCTAAAGCACCTTCCTGGCTGCCACCCTTGCTTGCACACAGGAGGAGCACTTACCCAGAAGTTTGAAAGGTCAGCATATCTCGGAGTTGGCCTTAACCTAAGAGATAACATGGACATTTTGCTCGACTGGCAGATATTTTTAGGCTTTTGTCTAACTTTTGGAAAGAATGGAATTTTGGAAATATTCTCTCACACTTTTAGCATTCCTGGGCTGATCCACTGCTCTGGTGAACCCGTGGTTTCCCGGTTGCCTTGGTGACAGTAAAAACAGCAGTTATTCTGGGCATTTGTTCCAAATCCCCTGAACCTCGCCCCCGCCACCTGCCTGCTGTCCCCCGAGTCCCAGCACACAGTACTCCTCTGTGGTCAGTCCCAGGGCCGCCAGTGACCGAGTCTGGAGCTGAGCCAGTTCCCTGCCGGGTTCCCGGGTTCTCTCTACGCAACACCGACTATCCCTGTCCTGCGAGGTGTTTGCTTTCCTTTTATATCCTTTCCTTCCTGATAATAACAGTACGTGCACAGGTAGAGACTTAGGAAATTATACAAAGTCAAGAGTTTCCAAACACGCTGACGTCACTTCAAGAATTCAAAGGATGTGAGACACCTGCCCGGAGTTGGGGACCCCATTCCCTCTGCCCTCCCCCACTCCGGAAATGCCAGCGTCCAGCGGTTACTCAAGGCCCTGCCGGGCAGGGAGGTGCCAGCTGATACCTGGCGCTGACCCCACTTGGTCCATCCCGGCTCCTCTGCCCAGGGGACAGGGTGGCCCTCTCCGCGCCCGAATGCCCCTCCCTGGAGCGCAGCCCACTCGGTGCGGGTCCGCCCCGCGGCCCTCCTGGCGATTGGCTGCGCGGCCTGGAGGAGCGGGCAGGGGGCGGGGTCTCCGGGCGGGAAGTGAGGGGTGGGCGGCGCCGGGCGGGACACGGGGGGGAGGGGGCGAGGGCAGCCGGGGAGGAGCCGGCGCGGCGGGTACCGCGGCGATTCGCCAATCGCTGCAGACTCGGGTTCGCCCAGACTCTGGACGTGGGCCGGCTGGCACTGGGGCGCCGTTCCGCGCCCGCGCGGACTTCGGAATTAGCCCGGGGACGGACGGGCGCGGCAGCCGGAGCGCGTTTCTGCCGGACGCCGAGCCCCCGCCGAGCGCCGAGGATGCGCGCCCTGCCAGTCCTGGACGCGCACCCGAGCGAGGGGCTCCTGCCACGGGACCCCGAGGCCCCCCGGGCCCGAGGCGACGCGGCGGGGCCGGCACGCAGGAGCGCCGTGGAGAGGCTGGCGGCCGACCGCGCCAAGTACGTGCGGGGCCTGCCCGGGGCCGGCCCGCGCCCCGCTTCCGAGGACAGCAGCCCCGGGGCGAGCGAAGGGCAGGCGGGCGACCCTCGGCCCCCGGCCCGCGTCCCCGGTCCGGTGGCGCGCAGGACCATAGCGCGGAAGCCACTGCGGCCTGACTCGCTGGTCATCTACCGGCAGAAATGCGAGTTCGTCCGAGGGCCGGGCGCCGACAGCTCCCGAGCGGGGCTGGTGAAGAAGCTCTTCCAGGGGCCGGGCAGAGACAAGACTCCGGTGCCCCCCGAGACGTCCCGGGGGGCAGAGGAGGGCAGGTCCAAGGCCGAGGAGGCCGCCCCGACCAAGCCCGGCTCCGTGACGGCCCCCGCGCCCCCGGGGCCCGTCGGGGCGCCCACAAGAGTCCCGGCTGTGCCGCGGGGCCCGGAGCTGCGGGGGCTGAGGCGCGGGGGGCTGCAGCGCTCGCAGTCAGACCTCAGCTCCCGCTACTCCTCGTCCCTGGCCGAGTTCGACACGTTCTTCCAGTACTGCGGCCTGGAGCCCGAGGTGGTGGAGGCGCTCGGGAGGGAGAACTTCTCCGCGGGGTCGGACCGCGTCGCGCTCAAGGTCCGCAGCGTGAGCGTCGCCACCTCCGACAGCGGCTTCTCCCGGCACAGCAGCGGCGACGAGGGGCTGCAGGAAGAGGAGCTGACGGAGCAGGTGCCCAGCACCACCTCGGTCATCGAGAGGAACGCCCGCATCATCAAGTGGCTATACACCTGTAAGAAGGCCAAGGAGACCCCCAGCCAGGGGCTGCAGAGCCCCGCATGACCGCTGCGCCTGCGGAGACCCAGACCTAAGGTGTGCGTCCAGAAGCCCTGGAGGGGTGTCTGTGTGCGCGTGTCTGTGAGGGCTGGGTGAGGGGGGCCGAGTTGCATGGATCCAGCCCTCTAAAGCTGAAGGGACCGTAGAGATTGAGACGCAGAGGCTCGTGCCTCAGAGTGACCACTGCTAAAGAGCAGAAGGGCTGCGGATCCTGCGGCAGGTCCAGAGCCTTTTCTTTTGAGTGTGCTGCTTCTGACTGCCTGGAAAGGTAATTCTGTTCGTTAACACCATCCCAGTTGGGTTATTATTGTGAAAAGAGGAGAAATAGGAATTATAAAATGCTTAGTCACAAGGCGGTTTTACCTCCGCTATTATTTCCTGCATTGAAAATAGCCTGAGAGCCCTAGTCCCCTGTGAATTGACCTGTGGGCGTCCTGAGGTTTGATCAGAGCAGCCTGTAGCCCCAGGGTGGGGCTGCCATCTCCCCTCCCTCAGAAAGGAAGGCTCTGTGCAGTTCCTGGACGTTCCTGCACGTTTACCAGAGTGACAAGAGAGGGAGAACTTCTCTACAGGATCTTGTCAGCAGTTTGACATCCGTTTAGCTGCAAAGATCTCTATTTGGCTAAATTTTGTTTCAATTGTTTTGAGAGCTTTCTAAGGAGAGTCTCTTGAGCAGCTTAGTTCACAAGAAGGAGCTTCAGTTTGTTGAACTGGGTGCTGGACTAGATTATAACTAGTCTTCAAGTTCTATATGGCTGTGGTTCTATAGTTTATTTGCCTCTGATAACACAGGAGGTAAATTTCTTCCCGTTGGACACCAGTAGCACAGGGTTAATCTCAGGTTCTTTTTCACTGAGTTACTAGGGAATGTTTCTCCTCACTGGTGCCTCCACTCTTCCTTCCAAGCACATGTGGGCGCTTTGGGGGATAGTGAAGAGAGAGGAGATACCTTCTCAGGGTTCTCTTTGAGAACCAAGAATTTAAACATTGCAACATCTGTTTTTCTCTTACCCTTCAATGACAACTTGCTGTAGATTTAAAAAAAATTCAAGTGATGGAAATGTTTGGTCTGCCCTTGAGATAAGCGTATTGAAATCACAAGATTGGTCTCCAGAGTGGTGGGGGGATACCACAGACATTTGTCCACAGCTCACTTGTGTTTGAGGCCTGGAAAAAGCCTAACTTCCCTGAGTGGCCATGGCTTTAGTGCAGACGTGAAAGTTAGCCAGGAGAGATGGTTTCATTGTTTCTCTTGAACTCAGAAGGATTATGACTCGAGTTCTTCCTTATAATTTATTGAAGATTATTGCATTTTCCATTAGCCTAAGTCCCCAAAGAATGTATATGGGCAGTCAAAATTTAAAAACACAAAACATAAACTTGTATTTTTCACACATTATCTTTTGAAACTGAGATGGGTGAACGATGGCAGGGGTGTTCCTAGGAAGCCACCATTAACACCTTGGTGGGAGGAGGAAAGTTATGGGGCTCAGCATGGTCCCAGAGGGACGTGGTCTAGTGGACAGAGCGCAAAGTGGGAATTAGGAGGCCTGTCTTCTGTTAGGAGTCCCTCCCAACTGTAGGCTTAGGCCTCCATTGTCCGTAAGATAAAGGCAGATAGGCAAACGGTTTCCAGCCTATACACTTTTGTATGGGGTATTGTATTGATTTTTACAGTTTCCAGCCTCTGTGCTTTTGTATTGGTTCTGTATGATCAATAATTTGTATATCTGTGTTTCGTGATTGGAACATGGAAAAAGAAAACAAAACACTACTGTCTATTGGAGTATGTAAAAAATAAACTTACAAATAAGGTCCCTCCAGGTCTCCGGGGCACACTCGTATTTTATGCACAGAGGGCAGGCAGAACTGGTGGTGTAGGTGATGCTGAGGTGACAAGATAATGCACAAACAAACCGAAATAAAACCTGACAACATGAAGACAAAAGCATTTCTCTCTGATCCCTTCAGACCCAGACCCGCCCCCATTCCCAGTCCAAGGTTAAAGCCCTGACCTGAAAGAGAATTTAGGGTTCAGTCTGTGGAGTCACCCTTTCCAAGACGTCTTGGGTTTGAGCCTATGAAAAATGTAAGCAGTTCAGTCAGCCTGTGGGAACTCTCACTCTGGTGAGGAGGAGAGTAGCAGAGGCAAGAGGAGAAGTTCAGGAAACCCGAGGGTGAATCTGTGCAGAACAGAGGTTCGTGTTCCTCAGCCTCTGCCTCCCTCTGTCTCAGTCCTGTTTGTTCCAGTGGGGGCCAGTGTCACCTGCCTTCTGAGCTGTTCTGCATTATTGCTCAGAGAAGGGAGATGGCATCTCAGAACCTGCCCCGTGTCCTGGATGTCATCGGAAGTCACCACACTGTGAAGATTTACTTCACAAGTTTACTCCTCTAGACCCAAAACATAACTCCCATTCTTTGAAACTTCAACCCAGGAGACCTAAAGCCTGGCTTTTGGAGGCTGGTGAGGAGGAAGTGAGTCTCCTGGGCTTGTTCCAGCTGCTGGGGCTGGGAGGATGTCTGCTCGTGACCACACGCCCCAGTTCCCCGGCTCCAGACGCCCCATCTCTGAAGAAGAGCTGCCCAAGTGAACAGGACTCACAGCGCTGAGCTTCGCCTCATCCATGAGGCTTGTCTGGCAGCTTGAACCCCAAGGCAGCTGGCCTTTCCTCACAGGGTTGCTTGTCTGAGACTAATTCCGTAACGTGCTGTGGAAGCAAGAAAGCAAGCTGTCATTTTTCCCTGGTTTATCAGGACTTTTGTGTCGGAATCCATATGGATTCACTTTAGGATTTCATGGAAAATTCAGAAAATTGGAGATGAATGGAGATATGCTTTCTAAGTGAAAAAGAAAATATATTTCATATGGAAGTTTTTATCCCCTTGGTAGATAGAGATATTATAAATTAAAATGAAAATATTCCATCCAGAATTAAACGGAAAGATCATAAGTTTATTACCCCATGGAGTAAAAATGTTAGCTTTTCAAAATTGAGAATATCAGAGCTGGGGAATCACTCACAGACTCTGCATGCAGTCCCACTGGGGGTCCATGAGTAACAGACAGTTACACATGGGTCATTTTGGTTTTCCGTTTCCCAGCGTATAATTCATGAAAATTACTGTTCCGTCCACCGGTGTTTATTCATCTTCCTGTCCTTCAGTTCTTTAAAATGGCAGGCCTGCCGAAATTTAGGTCTCTCTGGTTTTCTGTCTTTTGCACAGAGTATATGTTACTGATTTTAATGTTGTTATAAAAGAATGGTAATTTTTCCTTTGGATTAATTAAGGATAAGCATTGTTCAATTTGAAGGCAAAAATATCAGATATTCCACAGCTCTCTTTGATAACATAGGAGCGCCTGTAGGGGCCACTAAAGCTGGTGGGTTGGAACTGTGTCTCATCATTTGCAAAGATGCCGAGGTGGGATAGAGCGAAAGCCTTTCCATGCCTTTCTTTTTTGACCAGCTGGGAAGCTCCCCAGTCACCTTCTAAGAGCGCATGTTGGGTAAACAAGTGGCTTGAGTAGCCCTAGGGCCACCCCTCTCTGTCTTCAGGACAGCCTCTGGGCCTTTTAGAGAGATTTGTATTTGAGAAGGGTGGAATGTGCTGTCAAATATTCATTTGGACTGCTTCCTTGTTTTCTATTTTGTGGTCCAACTTTGTGGTAGTTAACACTGGCGTTACCAACATTCAGAGAGATTCTCTTTCTTCCCCGTGAGTCGTGAAGGCAAACAGAAATTTGAAAAAGGCCTGCAGGGCAATGGATATTTGTTCTGCCAAAGAAACCAGATGATAGCTGTCCTTACTAAGGCTACCAACTTCTTTTCAAAATTTAAAATGCAAAATGGAGATGTTTTAAAACAGGGAACTATCACAAAACCAAAGACTACAGGGACGAGACTTTGTAGGATAATGTGTGTCTCTGTAACTTCCGCTAGACTGGTGTCAAGTCACTGCTTTTTCTTACTCCCCAGGAAGCAAGTCTTCCCGACGATGGCGGCTCCTTGAAGAATGTCATGGATGATTTGGGGCCCCAGGGCCATCCTCACTGCCACAGATTTTGTCCAGTGCACACAAGTGACCACATGATTGCTGTTTTCTCGAGAATAAAGCACCCCATTGAAGAGGCTTAAGTAATGTCAGAGGGTTTGAAATGCTGTGGAGAAGATGGGAACACAGAACTTGGAGGTTAGCTGGGTTGCAACTGTTATGACACAGCTGAAGCTCTGGAGGTATTTTCTTGTTTGAAGTGGACCTGTCCTTGCTTCCAGAGGGCAGCAGAAGAGGGGAAAGCTGCTTGGACTTGTTTTCAGAGGCATCTTTTTGACTGGTGCATTTTAATGATATCAAATTGATTTTAAAAAGAAAAAAGGCAAAGATCATGACAACCAAGCATGAATGCTGTGATATTTACTGCTTTCAGTCATCTTGGACAGATTGACACCATTTAAATCAAAGCGCCATAATCAGGAGAAGGTGCGTGCTACTTAAATACTGTGGCTGACAGAGTAAACGCACGCTTACCCACACTCACACACAGACCTGAGCATCACTGCACTGTAACTGCAGTGAACTCCCAAACTGTGCAGCTGATCGACCCGTTTAATGAATCAGAAAGTGCTTTTAAAATCCCTTGAGGGCTACAAGGTCATCCTGTTAATGCCACTCCCATTGAGTTGTAGACATATGGCAGTACATTCAAAGATAAGTTAGAGCTGAAATACTACTAAAATATCTTTTCTCATACCTGGACAGTTTCTTGAGAGTTGGCAGGAGAATCTCGGAGCTTCCTTTTGTCAGATCAATAGCAGAATTCCTCTTTTGCAGCACCATTTAGAATGTGCCCCCACAGCTCCCTTGTTCCTAGCTTCCGAAAGGAGAGGAAAGTCTCAGTTTACACAGAACACGGACTCATGACACAGAACATGCCCTGCCCTTTGGTCTAATTCACGCCTCCACGTATCACGCAAGCATCTCAAACTGGTGCCAGTTCACCCTTCTCCGCAAAAGGTCTTTTGAGACC